GATGTCTGTGAGAAAGATATATTCACTCGACAAGCTCGCGCATCTGCGCCGCCGCGCGCTCAATCCACTCACGCGCGCTCAATTTGTTTATCAGCTCGCGCACATCAGCTATACAGGCGTTAATACTGAATGTTTAACATTATATTCATTGCATACATATACTTCCTATACATCCTTAATCTCTAATAACTCCATTCTGCTGTCTGTTGTTTTGTTGTGGGTGTTTCTTTGTCTGAATATGGCACTTATCACATGCTGTGTGATATCGGCGTTTGGTATCGGGGCATTTTAACGAGTACGAGTACAAGAGCTCAGTATCGGTATCGGTGCATCCCTAAAATATATACTGTATGTGTGTGTATTTATATATGCATAATAAATATACACAATACACACTCATATATTATGTAAACAAAAACTTTTATTTTGGATGCGATTAATCGTTTGACAGCACTTATATATAATTATAATTTACTTGTATAATTAATATTTAAGTATACATTTTATTATTGTAATTATATAAATAAATCTGTTTTTTCTTCAGGTTACATTCTGATTTGTATTTCCTAGAGTTTTGCAGTTTTGTGGTAGAGTTGAAATAATGATTGATTGAAGGTGGTTTTGATCTGAAGCAGCTCTGACGAACTCTGAGCGATGGACTGAGACGAGACGAGAGGTTTACTTGCACATGTGACACCTGGCAGAGAGCGTTTGGAGTGAGAGACGAGTCTGGAAGCATTTAGTTCTCTGTTTGCAGGGCTGTTCACGCGACTTCAGTGGGTTTACAGCTAGTTTGACTGCATCTGTAAAGGTTTCTGATGGAGAGACAGATGAGTATCTGCTTAGATGTGTTGAAGGTGAAGAATCAGCTGTTCTAGGAGGTTTTTAGAGGAAAAGTTCACTCAAAAGATGAAAATGTACTCCCCTTTATTGTACTTTATTTCAGTTGTATATTTTATTTTAACATTTACTTTATTTCATCAATGTTTTGTTGTTGTTGTTGTTGTTTTAGTGGTTTTGGTTTCAGTTTTAGTTAACTATAATAAACTCAAACAACCTTTATAAACTCATTTGCAGCATTACTCCCCAAGCCGTGCAAGATTAGGATGAGTTTGTTTCTTCATCAGGTTTGGAGAAATGTAGCATTGCATCACTTGATCACCAATGGAAGTGAATGGGTGCCGTCAGAATGAGAGTCCAAACAGCTGATAAAAACATCACAATAATCCACACCACTCCAGTCCATCAGTTAACATCTGGAGAAGACAAAAGCTGAGACAAATCCCGCATTAAGACGTTTCTGACTTCAAACCGTTGCAACTGGCAAAAATAGCAATTAAGTCCATAATCAATAATAACGCTTCCTCCAGTGAAAAAGTGCATCTCCTGTTGTCTCTCACATCAAAATCCAGCCACATATTTGTTTAGAGCTGTTTTGGACTGTTTTGATCTGTGCAGATTTCTCTGCTGATGCACACCAGACCAATTTTTCACTGGAGGAAGCGTTATTATGGATTATAGACTCATATTTTAGTCAAAAACATCTTAATGCTGGATTTGTTTCAGCTTTTGTCTTCTCCAGATGTTAACTGATGGACTGGAGTGCTGTGGATTACTTGTGGATTATTGTGATGTTTTTATCAGCTGTTTGGACTCTCATTCTGACGGCACCCATTCACTGCAGAGCATCCACTGGCTTAATTTCTGTATGACTGATAAATATGCATCACATTAAATTTATTAGTTTGTGTTAAAAGCGTGTAATCCAAGTGGGTGGAAACTTGATGATTTAAATGCATAAATCTTAAATGTAGGCTTTAATGTTTTTGAAGTGTATTGATAATGCAATACCCGTTCAGTCTTTCTAACGTCATTCATCCGTCTGGATCCCAGATGAGAAGGAAAAGCATCAGATGTGTGTGGATTTACAGTTCAAGTCAATTATTCATCAGCAGCTGTGTGGAATAGTTCAATTATAACATCAGATTCAATTATGCATCATTAATAAAAGACTATGAAGAGTATGAAAATGTTTAGCTATTTGTTTAGTAATCCGTTCATTATTGTAATATTGGAATATAATCTTGGCAAGCTTTCTAAATAAGCATATTTGGTGTCTCCAGACTGACTCCACATGTCGAGTGGCTGGATTATGTTACGTGTAATTGCTGCAGAATGGACAGAAAGGATCGTTTCACATGGGACTCGTTTCGTCGTATCCTTGAACCAGAAACTCTTCCGGTCTGGACTTTAAATGTGTGATGAGCTCGAGATGCACAGATTCACTGCAGGCCAAATATGGATGAACAAACACAGCTTCAGGGTCTGAAAGAGGAAACAGAGCAGTGCTGATAGAGAATTTATATATGAAATGTATTAGCGGTTTGATCTGAGCTTTAAAAAGAGGATTGATGATTTAAATATAAAATAAATCAACATTTAAATTAAGTCAATTCAATTT